ACCCCACAGGCCGTATATTGTTTCAGTCCAGTCCAGTCCCGCCCGGTACCACGATCGGTACCAGGCCAGTCCAGTCCAGTCCAGTCAGTCCGCTGGGGGTATACCCCAGCTGCAGTCTGTTTTTTGGTCATTCTTCACTTTCGCAGATCTTGGAGTACTTGCGTGTGGAGTCTGCGTCGGAGCTGCGCTGTCCCCTCCAGCTCCATCTCTACCTCCTTCTTCGTCTCCATCCTAACGGACCGCCATCCCGGCGGGTCCGGCACACTTACCAACAGGCAAGGAGGAGGGCCCACAGGCGGGATGCAACGGCGGTATTCGAGCGCGAAGGCGTCACCCTCCTCATGAAGCTCCAAGCGCCCATAGAGTTAAAAATTCAGGACCGGTGCAACGCAGCGCAGCGTTAGCTCTGCGCTAACGCAGCCCTAACGCAGCGCGCGTTCGTTTCGACGAGCAGCCTTTGGAAAAAATTCTGACAACTTCCTTTTAAAAAAATAAAAAAAAAAAAGGGCGATGGCCTTGAGGTGTTATCATCGGACTAACCAGCCCAGATAAATTCAATATCATGTCTAATCTGACATCGGGTGGCCTTCTCAGCCCAGGGTGGCCTTGATTGCCTTCAGGGAACCCCCAACGGGGGACACCCGGACAGGGGACAGCCGGTGGCAGAGGGACCGAGCATCATCTGAGTGGGCAGTCTCTGTGCCTCCCCGATTACTCCTCCCCTATGAACATCAGCAGAGACTGCTTTTTAATGCCAATTTGTCGGGGTTGTGAAATTGGCAGTGGGGTTAAATCTAGTGGTGTACTTTGTGTTTGGCCCATGATGCCTTGCCCACTGAGGACCCCACATAATTTTGTAAGGGACGCCAGGCCCGGTTCCCGGCTTTTATAAAGACATTGTCCATTGACAACTCAAAAAAAAAAAAAACCTCGGTGTTGTCTCTGTGAGAAACGAGAGGCTATCCAGCGGCCTAACTCAGTTGGTGAGGCTCGCAAGTGGCATTCAGGAGGTCGTGGGTTCAATCCCCATTGACCTCATGTACCTTCCTGGGCATGCTTGGCGCCTGCCACCTAGAGATAGACCACTTGATCCCCCTATTGGCATTTAGCAGAGTCTGCTGATGTTCATAGGGGAGGGGACCTGAGGGGAGGCACAGGGATTGGTCCTGTTGGCATGGTCCCTGATGCTTCCCCCGATTGGCACTTAGCAGAGTCTGCTGATGTTCATAGGGGAGGGGACCTGAGGGGAGGCACAGGGATTGGTNGGAGGGGACCTGAGGGGAGGCACAGGGATTGGTCCTGTTGGCATGGTCCCTGATGCTACCGGCTGTCCCCTAGCCGGTATCGCCCACCTGCAGGTCGGGAGCAGCCCCCGCATGTTCTCTCGTGAACACGGTTCTGGCTGCTACGGGGTTCCCGTATGCCTACAATTAGGAGTAGTGGTAGGTAGGTAGTGTGAGGTGAAATTGAGAGAAGAATATAGCTTTAGCCACGTGGAGAGTCATGCAGCATCTCAATTTACATTGAGTTGAGGCGAGAGGAGGAGGTAGGGGTCGTGAGCTTAGGACCAGATCCGACTAACAAAGAGGATGGGAAAAAGAGTCTGAATCTGGTCGTGTTTGTGGAGATGTAAAAAATTGTGACTGTTCTGCTTTTCTGCATCACGTCCAGATTCGCCCACTTCTTCCAATCCTCTTTGCCCGTGGGATCTGGCCCTTAGTACTGGGAGGGCCTCACTCCAGTACAGACCAATTGTGCAAAATGAGAATATACTCCACTAGTACATGGGGGTTCCACAATATTGAAAATTTAACTGGGCTGAAAAGGCCATCGCCCTTTTTTTAAAAAAAAAAAAAAAAAAAAAAAAAATAATAATAATAATAATAATAATAAATTCTGGAACTTTAAAACCCAAAAAAAAAAAAGAAAAAAAAAAACGTCTGGAAAGATACACCGCCATTGTTTAGGTCTTTTGTGCACGTGGTAAGTAGTGGACGTCTTTTGTGCACATGGTAAGTAGTGGAGGGAGGCCCAGATTCTCACTCCCTAGAGGGGATGCTGACCTGGGGCATACTCATGCTTCGTCTAGAGCTCAGTCGATTGTAAGTGCGACCAGACCCGGATGCATCTAACCGTAATCACGTCCACAGCTCAGTCGAAAAAAAAAATCCTAGTGTAAGACTTCCATGGAGGCATCTGATCTACTTCAACTTATATCCTCCAACATAATGGGCCCCGTGTGTGTGTGTGTGTGTGTGTGTGTGTGTGTGTGTGTGTGTGTGTGTGTGTGTGAATGTCTTCCCGGGAGACAGATATCACGATGATATCAACTAGATGAGAAGGATGCCCTGGGCCACGTGCCACTTATCGTGACTTATGCCAATTCTTCATTTCTGAACGTGGATCTTCGTAATCTACGGTCAGAAATTGAGGTTTCGGTTAAGTGGGACTTGGCCCCGGTTCTACTGGTCCTTATACTCTATGGTGTAACTCCCCAACCTCTTGGAGGTGAAGCAAGACGGGGAGGATAGAGAGAATGGGAGAGATGGAGCTTTGGGCCGCAGAAGGTATCGGAGCAGCTTATATTTAATACAAGAGTTCCTAACTCTGACTGCTTCTATCATACCACAACCAAATACTACACAAGACTCACAAGAGAGAGCTTCTTATGAGAGAGCGTCGTTGTTTCCATATACATACATTGTAGCTTGTTTCAACAAAATCTGAGTATGAAGAAATTAGAAGAATATAGAATTTTAGGGTATAAAGAAATGATCTATCTCATGTGTTGCATACTAGTGAATACTTCAACAAGTATGAGATGAACCAAAGATCAACCAATATAGGATGAGCATGTATGCAGCGGAAGTCTGATAAATGGACTGACTCACATAGACTGAACTCACGCAGATATCACTCAACACACAAACAATCGTGAGATGGGGGGTCTGAGCCAATCAGAGACGATGCTCAGGCCCCGTACAACCATACACAGATGAAAGGTGGGAGGAGAGACGAAGGAGGTGGGAGATGTAGGCAGCGCCAGATGTCACCGAGATAGAATCCAGTAGGTCCTCTCAGCATAGAGGCCAGCCTTTCCACACCCGTACTTAGGTACCAGAGGCCACCTGATCAGCATTCAGGGAGCAACAGCAGTTCGGGAAAACGCTGCGCTATTCTGTTTAGAGCGCAGCGCTACTGCAGTAGCGCGAGCTTAGTGCTAGACTGCAGTTGGGGATAGAGAGCAGGAAGGGACTTACCTGGTACTTACCTGTGGCGCCATAGCTTCCGCGGACCTCGACTGCAGAAGGCTCCAAGGCACCACCTTGCACCTTGCAGGTAGGGTTTCGGACCAGGACAGGGTAACGAGGGCACTCCTCCTCCCTACGTCG